TGCTAACCGAAATTTGTCTGATCATCCCCACCAACGATGATGTGACGTCATCACCAACTTTTAAAATAGTAAATGTTCTTTAAATTTTATAAACTATCGTATTCCCCCACTTATGGTTTATGAATCCGTGTTGACTTTTTACCGTACGCATCAAGGTTTTTGAAAAAAAAATCAAAATTGTATAATAATATCATTATTTTACAATTTATAACTTTGAAGTTGCAAAACCGAATGCTTTGAAATCTTGCAGATGTTTTAAAGTTATGATGATCATAATAAATCTTTAATCAAAACATATTTGCTTTTCCCCTCCAAAAAGTTGATGACGTCAGCTCAAAATTTTGTCGAATAGGTAAATCCTATCTAAAATGTCCGAACAATGCAAAATGTTTAATCAACACCGACGGCTAGACAAACAGACCCGTTGGAAAGGTGTACACTGCAGTTTCGATCTTGTTGGATCTCACTAACATGACCAAACTATGATGAATCTATACTTGTGATTTATCATTCCATTCATATTTTTTGGATTTACTTATACAGGATGACTCAAAAAATTAATGAATGACATTCAAAATTTTCGTCAGCTAAGGCATAACGTTTTGTCTTAAAAACATCCGCACCAACACTATACATCCTTTCCACTGCGGCGCTAGATGGAATTATTGTGGGGCAACATGTTACATATTTTACCAAAAATTGAAGAGCCGATTCTTTTGCGCCTAATTTCTTTCCAGTCTAGCTACAAATAAAAGTACGATGTCAACTGCAACAACTTTTAGACAAAAATTTGCATTGGTAGGAGATTTCAAAATATCTTATTGGCTATGTGTAAATGTATTGTAAATATTAGTCCATCGATAATTACCTGCGTACGCAAATCTTTTAATCCCTCAGAGGGTGGACACTCATAAAATTTTATTGTCTGATTATGAGGGGCTGTATCGGTTACCTGCTATAGATCTGAGTGGATCAAAAAAATGGCTAAAGTTTGTTTGACCACAAATTTTAAATATTCTGCCCGTTTCTCAATTATTTATTAAGATATTTTATTTCTGTAAAGCGCAATGGATTTTTTAATACAATTTCTACTAATGTACCTTTCGGAAAATTTAAAATTGATCTGACCCTTTTTTTCAAAAAACTGTAACTTTTTCAAAAATTTAGTTATAGAGACGTTTTTTTTTTTTCAAAATGTTGTCTTTAAATGTAGTTTTCAGAAAAAAAATGATGTGAGCTTCTATGAGATTTTTCAATTTCTTGAGAAAAACCGTCAATTCCTCGTAGTCGACATTTTTGATTTTTTGTTTTTTTTTTTTTTCTAAAAAAAACTTTGTTTTTTCTGGACATAATCCCTTGAAAATGGGAGTAGGACGAATTTGCATTATTTTTTTTTTAATTAAATAAAAATTAACTCGAATTTTTTACTTCCCGAGCGTAAGCAAAGGAAGTATTGTAATCGAGTCCGTCGGCCGACTCTCTACTTTTACGTTTTCTCGATCTTTCGTGACCCCAAGAGGACGAAGAAATAGGTCTCCCGCCTGTCTGTCCGTCCGTCTGTCTGCCGTCCCGGATTTTTATTAGACAGATAATCTCCGAAAGTACTGGACCGATTGTTGTGAAATTTTGTACTTATATTAAAAATATCACGTAGATGGTAAAACGCTAATCAAAATTTGTCTAATCATCCCTACCACTAATGCGATGACGTCATTTCAAAATTGTACATAGTAAATGGGTTTTAAATTGTATAAAATAACATAGTCCTACACATGTCGAAACGTCTAGATTTTTGGAAAAAAAATCAAAATTATGAAACAACATTTTGCCATTTAATTTTGAATCTGCAAAACCGAATGCTTTGAAATCCTACAGAAAGTTTCGAGTTATGAAAAGCATGATAAATTTTTAATCAAAATATATTTACTTATCCCTTCCAAAAAATTGATGACGTCAACTCAAAAGTTTGCCAAATAAATCCTATCTAAAACGTACAAAATATGATGAGTCTGTACTTGTAATTTATCATTCCATTCATATTTTTTGGATTATATATATATACAGGGTGACTCAAAAAAATTAATGAATGCGTGAATATATTTTATTATTTAATCAGGAACTACAAAACTGAATGCTTTGAAATCTTGGAGATGTTTTACAGTTATCATAGGCATGGTAAATTTTTAGTCAAAATATATTTCCTCATCCCCTCCCTAAAAAATTGATGACGTCACCTCAAAATTTTGCTGAATACATCCTATCTTAAATGCGCAAAATATGATGAGTGTAGTTGTGATTTATCATTCCATTCATATTTTTTGGATTTGCATATACAGGGTGACTCAAAAAAATTAATGAATGCGTGAATTTATTTTATTGCTTTAATCAAGAATTGCACAACTGCATACTCTGAAATCTTGCAGACGTTTTAAGGTCATTGTAAGCATGGTAAATTGTTAATCAAAATAAATCTGTTTATTTCCCCCAAAAAATTGATGATGTTATCTCAAAATTTTGCCGAATAAATTCTACCCAAAATGTACAAAATATGATGAGTTTTTACTTGTAATTCATCATAGCATTTTTTATTGATTAAATTAAGAGAACGAATGACCCCATTTTCCCGAAAATGCGAAAATACAAACATCTTTATTTAATAAGAATTATAATAATGATATTCAGAGCATTTTGTCGATTAGTTAATTACTAGTTAATTGTTTTGATCCTCTGTTTTGAGGGGACGAACTCATTCAAATCAAACAAATTTCTACGACATTCTTCCAATGTATAAACATAAAGACTTGTTTTTCTTATCGAGGATAACCTAAAGACGTACAGTAATGGAATCCATTGAGCAATTTGCCACTATCAAATTTTCTCGATATTTCATAACTCCTAGACAAGGCCGTAGCTAGAAGGAGGCTAGGGGAAGCTCCCCTAGATCTAGAGAAATTGTAATTAACCAAATGTGAATTACAGCATCCAAAAACCGAAAAAATGTAGTGTTTAATTATAAATGATTTTGTGAAAACTCAACAAATTATTTTTCGGATGGAGCTCTTCAGAAATTCAAAATTTTCAAAAACTGTCAATTTATGCTACCATGCAGATGATTTTGGCATACTTACCTGCCGAATGGCATTTTTTCGGTACTGACATGGAAAAGGTCCATGCGATGGTATCTGTGACACACTCAAAGATTATAGCAGCGAGAGCAGGTCTTCAGGTAGCAGTAGACAAATAAATAACTACACCTCAAGAACTTTATGCATGGGCTTCTCCTTGGCTTCTTCACTTATAATCTTCCGAACCAACTCCATAATCTAATATGTTCCGAAAATAGCGATTAGGTTTTCACCAGAAAAGAATTACAATAAAGCTGTAAATTATTTAAGTGATCGATTTTCAAGAACAAAATCAATTAGTGGAACTTGGAAACTGCACACTGTGATTCCAAACAGAGATGGTTGTCTTCATGTTCGTAATTTTTCAAATTCAGATCAATACAGAATAAAAGTAACCTCATCTGGCATACACCTTGTAAAACTTTTATGACTTAAGCGGTTTAAGCAAACCACCCTTATAAGTCAAACTGGCTATTATAAGCTTTATGCACCTGAACCGCAAGGATTATTACTGTCCATTGTTGCCATAATGGAGCTGTGAACTGAGTTAAGTTATATACAATAGCCAGTTTGACATATAAGGGTGCTTTGGCTTAAGCCGCTTAAGTCATAAAAGTTTTACAAGGTGTATGTCAAATGAGTTACTGGTATGTAAGTTATTTAAGCGCCAACGAAAAACGAAATAAATAGTTTCTTCAATAAGCATTTCAAAATTGATTTTTAATTTTATTAATCGTGAAATTTTGATCATAAATCATAAGGTGAGGTCATAAATTAAGTATGAAATATTATAAAATTATAGATTTAAAATAATTTTAGTGTATTAACAGTAAAAAGTTAGAAATCGAGTTTTTTTTTTTTTAATTGAAAAGAAATAGAACGCAAATTCGGCCCAGTCCCGTTTTCACGGGGTTATGTCCAGAAAAATCAATCAATCAATCTTTAGGGAAAAAAAATAAAAATGTCGGACTTCGAGACGGTCTTACTCAAAAAATTGAAAAATCTCATAGAACCTCACATCAATATTTTTTTTCTGCAAAGTACATTCAAAGACAAAAAATTTTGAAAAAAGTTTCGATAACTCAATTTTTCAAAAAGTTAGTTTTTTGAAAAAAAGTCATTTTTTTTTAAATTCATAAATTTTTTTCGGTTGGTTAAAAAAATTGAAAAAATTCTCAAAAACGTCTTTGGTGGGGTGGAAAAAAATATAAAAATTTCAGCAAAATCGACAGTGGCCGGGTTCAAAAGTGGTCGGTTTGGCATGGAATTACCCATATGTACTCGTATGTCGTCTGCAAAGACCTAAAGAAAAGAACGAGTCATTTTAAATATGTGAACCAGATTTTTGGTTGAACCAAACCCAAACTGCATTGACCAATAGAAAAGTGATCACATACTGATCACTAGAGAGCGGATTTCTGTCGGGCTAGACAAGGCCAAACTCGGTACGGCTCGTACGGGATGGGAATTCATTGCAATTACCGACTGCACTTCGTTTATTTGAGATTAGAATAACGCTGCTTCGTGGCACTCTGCTGTTAATTCCAGTTCTCATTTACTTAGCCGTTTGATTAATAAATCGTTAATTGTATTTATGGAATCAAGTGACAATTAAATTCAGTGATTACCTGTCACCCGCTACTGAGTCCCGGCGATGCAGCGCGTCCCCGCCTATAATCGTGACGTAGCCCGACAGAAATCCGCTGTCTACTGATCACCCATGTTTACTACTGGATCTTTGGTTTATTTTAGTAAGTTTATTCGTTTTTTCTGATGCTTGCAACTTCCACCAAAAATAATCATGAACACAACAATATTGGTAGTTCTTGAACAGGCACTTTGTGCACATATGTTTAAAAATTAAAAAATCGAAGAAACTGATAACCGTTATATTGTACAAATTTACAAAATAAAATCTGTCTACATAATATCACTTTACTCAGTCTTCACAGAAGGCTGTTCGCTATCTTCAACACATTCAGTAATCGTGACGGTTTCATTGTCTTTAGACGTTCCTGCAGTCGTCGTCGTCGTGACGACAGATGTACTTTCAATTGCCGCACTCGTCGAAGGAGTACTTCTGGGCCTAGGTGGCCTACTATTATAGACTATTCTGGGCCTGAACGGCATCCTCGGCGGAACCATGGGTGGTATGCCTGGTCTAAATGGATATGGAAATGGTCCAGGTGGAATCATTTGCCTCGGCAAAAACCGATGCTGAAGCATAGGGGGAATCCAAAATTCTGCACCCTGTTAGATAATTAAATAATAAGAAATCAGCAACATGATCAGGCATAAAAAACATTACCTCAAAATATGGATTCGGTATTCTCGGAGGTTCGTACTCTTCGCGCCTTTCGTGCCTGTCTTCGTCATAACGTCTACGTGGCGACCGACTTCTTCTCGATCTACTTCTTCTGGATCTTTCGCGACGATCTTCTCGACGATAGGGTGATCTACTGTATCTAGATCTATGGTGGGGAGAATAGCTTCGGCTTCGGCCTCTGGAAGAAACAATTAAATATATAAAAAACTATTACGACTCATTTTTGCACATTGCAAGTACCTGCTGCTCCTCCTCGGTGGAGGCGTCCTTGACCGCCGCCGACTCACTGATTTCTCTGGAACTTTTGGAGGCGACCTCGTCGTTCTCCTCTCGGGAGGAGCTCTTTTGTACCCGGACGGCGATCGACTATGCCTTTGCTTGGTATAGTACCTTGGAGGGGTTCGCCTTCTTTCATGAGTACTTCTAGGCGACCTTTCTCGCCTTTTGTGTGCCTCAGGAGACCTTCGAGGGCTTTTGCTTCGCCTGGATTGATATCCCGATGAACGAGGAGGTGTGTTGCTCTTATACACCGCCTTCCGGGAATTTGAATTGCTTCGTCTAATTAAAATGTACGTCGGGTTAAATTTACTATTTCTGATTTGTTTATCTTACCGAGATCTAGAGGAATAATATTCACCGCTCCTATACTCTTCTTTGGAGCGGTCCCTGGAGGTGTGTGCCTCAGGACTCAATTTTTTTTTATCTTCTTTTTGAGGGCCTCTACTAGAACTACGGGTTGATCTTGAGCTACTCCTAGAAGTAACTCGGTGAGCTAAAGTCTTATCATTTCCTTGTGAAGAGGTTAAGACCATCCGTTCTTCCTGGTTTTCTTTATTGACAACTATATCCTCGCGCTCAAAAATTGGTCGAGTTCCCTCATCTGAAAATGAGTTGTTTCTCAAAAGTGAAAATATTTTTTACGCGCAAGCATTCACACAAAATCCTGTACCAAAACGGAATTACTCCAAAGAAATCGCAAAGAACGATACTAATTGTAGAAACAGGTATTTAGTATTTTAATAGGCGTGATTTAAAATAACATTTAAGTTGCATATACAAAAAAAAAGTAAATTTTGAAGCAACAAAGTATATCTGAACATGTTAGACTTTATATATTAAGATATTTGAGAATTTCTAAAAATTAGTTTCTTTGGAATAGTTCAATTAACAATCAATACTAATGAATAACAATGTTAAGATGCATGATGAAATGAGGTCTTCTGTTCTTCTTTCTTCGTAAAGTTGTGCTTTCTGCCGTGTTCTTCATTTTACACAAAATTAGTTATACAACTTAAATTTTTAACAAAAATTAACCATGTAAAAAAATTAAATTTATAATAAATTCAAACTACTGTTGCAAAGTTGAATGAAATAGAATTTATAAAACAAACTATTTTTTTAGTAAATTAAATTAAAAACTACGAAATTTAAGTTAGGATGTCTTCCCTAATCCCCAAAGTGTTCTTTTAGTCCACATTATGATGAATGTGTTCCATCGATGCCTTCATTTGAGCAAAGTTAATTAGGATGCAAACACAGATACAAAGATGTGACAACGTTAATTTTCTATGTAAAAATTAAATTATAAGCACTTACGAATTACAAGTAAAAATAATTATGCTATAAAAGTTAAGTAATAAAAATATTGAATAAGCTATGACTTAAAAAGTTATCTATTCAAAAAAAAAATGACTTACATTGTTCCATTTATAAATATTGCAATGATGAATTACATAGTGATCCTTTGTAGAGTTTTTGTCCCAGTAGCTGTGCCTTACTTCCTATAATGCTTGCATGTTGGTAAAACAATCCTTCTAAAGAAGTTAAATTAAACACCAATTAACAATTAATTAGAAGAGAATAGAAACTGAGCTAAATTTGTTATCAACATCTTCAATAAAATTTGAATTTTACTTTGGAATTTGTTCCATATTAGATTATACTATTTACCCGGCCTATAGTGAACAATTAATTGTGAGGGATCTTCCAGGCTTCGTAGGAATGGTCCAGACGCATTTGGTTCAATTACATTCCTTCGCATAATCGCAACCTTTATGCTCTTAAGTTCCGCTTTGTCTAATTTCAAAAGTGCACCCATTTGGGTGTCACCCGATCTGAAAGTAACACATTTTATACGTTGGAACAAAAACGGTTTTCATAATTCATACCTTGAAGTATTGGAATTGGACATTTTTAAGGTTAACTAAAGATAATAATAAATCAACGAATACTCATTACAGTAATCATCTGTAGTCCATTTTGTGTAAACAATCACAAGGTAGACATCAGGTTTGGGGTGGAGACACGACAACACAAAAAACCAGGGACCAAAACCACACCGCCACAATTTTTGACAACAACAACCTCAGTCCTCAACGTAAATTAAGTTGCCAAGTGCCAACTCTAGCAAAATTAAAAACCCTAGTCGTTCCCTGTCACACTGGACAGCTGAGAGGTGCGTTCGAAAACTGGATATAGAGGAACAAACTACAAAAGTGAGCAGAATCACAGGCAGAATTTTATGGTTTAAAATTTAAATGGAAAAGTAAATTCTTATAAGTGGCAGCACAAAGCAAGAAATTGTTACAATTAAAAAGTTTTAATTTATAGAAATTATGGATGAATAAAAATCCCATGTCAAATAATTTATACCGGCAATTTTTTTAATTCTGAACATTAATCCATATATTCAGTTTTAAAAACACAAGCAATGCATAAGATATTTAACTTATTTTCTTCAGTTAAAACATTATTTGTTCTATTTCTTTTGTAGTGTTTACATTTTTGTAAAATATTTTTAGACAGTAATTCAAACAAGTTGATATTTAGGTTTTTTTAATGAAGGAGCCTTGGCGTAATATTGACTGCATATTTCCAATGCATTGGTGTACTAGTATGTGTTTTAAAATTGAACATAGAGATGATGCCCATACTCGTTTTCCTATGTTCAGAGTTAAAAAAATGTCCCAGAATATAGATGAGTTAATGCAGGCTCCTTGGTATTTCAGAGACCCTAGGCAAACATGTGTATAAAATAATGTATTATTTTCAATTGTTCTACGTTATGGTTTCGCTTCATAGAATATTATTGGTTGCCTACATACAACTGTAGTATAAAAATGGATTTTGCAATGGTATCCCTATGGACAATAATTATTTACACTATAAATGCCGAAAGTACTGAATAGGATAACGAGGAGCTTTAATGTACTTAATTTCTGCATTGTTTTCTCTTAACTTAAGTTGTTAAAAAAATAATAATTTTAGTAGTATTACCGTGCAATGTTTGTACTGAGGTTGTTACTAATAAGCTGAAGAAGATGAACGTGGCCCCAAGTGTATCCTAGCATATTCAAATTTTGGCGGATGCTGACCTACAGTGGTGCCATCCCAAAATTCATTAGGTAAATAAACCTAAATATTGAAATCAAAATAATACAAAAATGCATTTTTTACCTCTATAAACTGAAGTTACCGAGCTATAACATAAGAAGAATAATTTGTTTTATATCGATTATTACCTAATGTCATTTATAATTACATTTTGTATTTTGCGGTTCTGAATCTGAGACGGTTAGAAAAAATCTACTTGTAATTACATCGAATGAAAACAGTATACTTTAGTGTCAAATGAGTTGTGCACAAATTAAACAATTTCCAGCAGTTTCACATGTTTCACAGTTTCACTCAGTATGAAATTTTCTTAAGTATATGGTAATCTCCCAGAAGTAGTCCAAAAATAGAACTACAAATTTCCAGCTAAGTAGATGTATTTGCTAAAAAGTTATAGGTACACAAGTTTTTTTTTACTTTGTTCTAATTATCGCAAATGTACGTAATTGATTTGAAGACTTATTAGAGGATAGATAGATTATAGATTATATGCTAGAAATTCTCCTATTGTATTATTACTATATATTATGTTTCTTTAACTAACAGTCATAGCTAAATTTTTGTTGTAAAGGCGAATATTTTGCCATCTCGTAGTAACTAATCCTATTTAGAAGTTTATTCAAAATTGTGTATTTATAAATCTTATTCGTCCGTTATATCTTATGTCATTGTTGTATAATTAACATACATATATTTATTAAATGTCGGCTGTAAGTTAAACAAGTTTGCGTAATCATAAAAATAATAAAAGAGAATTTCAGTCCCAGGTTGAATCTTGACCTGGGAGAAGTCGACGATGAATATTTCTAGATCATATCTTTCCTCTTTGACCTCTGATGCATGCCATGTGTAACTAAGTTTTACCAAACAGGAGCTCCATGCTGGTTAGCAATTGTTTATCTTGATACTTGTATATCGGGTCAGCAATATATTTTGTAATCGAGTCATCCGTGGAAAGGATTTAGCATTCGGTGATTAAATCATACTGATAAATGTCAAAAAATGACAAAGGGCCTACTGTTCGTCTTTGGCTAACTCTAGTCTAAATATTAATTTTCAGAGGATGAAGAGTAGTCTCAACATGAACATATGGATTTTCGGTTCTTCATTTTCTCGTATTTTGATAATTAATGTAATCCCTCAGATGAATAAGCCAGGATTCTCTATCTCTATCTATTTTCTGTTCTAAATATTAGGTTTATAAATAATAGGCAATTAAAATTATTTTTGTTAAAACTGTTCCATGACGTAGCTTTAGACGTAACGTTAAACATATCATTTCAAAGAAGACATATGTATTCAATTCCAAGGGTGACTCGATTACAAATATGTTGCTCCACTGGTACATACACAGGACACTATCCTAAAAAACTGCAACTTATTTTTATGTAATTAAAATCTTTGATTATTTCGCTCCAATTATATTTAACTTCATTACCGAAGTGTCCAAATAGAAAGATAGCTGTAGCCATGGCAGAAGGCAGCAGAAGGAGACATGGTATAGGCATACGCATCGGGTGTGACGTCAAGTGGGGTGAAATTAGCGCGAAATTTAAAATACAATTCGTTATCCGACAACTAATTGACGTATTGGACAGAGCAATGACAACTCAAGCTGAAATTCCCTAGACTTCCCTAGCGAAGCTCACAAGAGTCACAAGGTCGTTGATGCCACCTAACGTCACAAATGGATGCGCAGACCATTTTTAAATTGGTACATCGGATGCCTATACCATGTCTCCTTCTACCATGAGCTGTAGCTACATTCATTTGACGTATAAATAACATATTCGAATTTTCTGAAAATTTTGACGTAAATGTAATGAACAGCCGAAATTAGATGCAGTGGAAAAATATTCTCAAACATTTTCAATACGAGTGAGTATATTGCGTTCGAGAGCCTCATTTCTGCTTTATTATGACTTTTTTTTCAAAATGGGAGTACCAAATATGATACTACATTAGTTAAGTTTCGAAAACGATGAAAAATGGGTCGAAATTTAAAGAATTGGAAAAATTTCATTTAAAAAAAAATTGTCTAAACATTTCCAAAATTTCTGGAATTTATATCCCGACGTTCTGATTCCAAAAATGTAGCATGTTTATGGTCACGGAGCAATATTTTCGAAATATTCGGTTTTAAAATCAAATTTTTTTAAAAATTCCAAAAATTTCAAATTTTCAATGGGTGATTCTGGAAAAATAGATGGAGTTATCGAAAAAACGATCCCGGAAGTGACTTCCTATCTTGTCAAGTTTTAGCCCCGCCCACCCACCCGTTTTTCTTAGTGGATATGTCATTTACCAAAATAAATCTTATCTTAACAAGGAGTAGTGTTCGAAAAATTTCACTTTTGAAAAAATTGCCTAAAAACCCTCAAAAAATTCTAGAATATAGATCTCGACGTGCTGATTTCAAAAATGATTATGGTCACGGAGCAAAATTTTCGAAATATTCGGTTTTAAAATCAAATTGTTTAAGAAATCCAAAAATTGCAATTTTTCAATGGGTGATTCGGAAAAAACGGTTAAAGTTATCGAAGAAACGAGCCCGGAAGTGACTTCCTATCTTGGCAAGTTTTATTTTTTCTTTTTTTTCTTAATATATTACATAGCCATCTTTTCACAAGAACAAACTTAAAACATGGTTAAAATGGTTAAAATGGTCCATTTTTGGAAGGAAATATGGATTTTGCAAGTATGAGGCTGAATCTAATTGCAAAATCGATATTTCCCTATACAAATTTTCCATTTTAAACATGTTGTGAAAAGAAGTCTAGGTACACCTATTAAAACAAAAAAGCAAAATGTAAGCCCGCCCACCCGCCCTGTCTCAACTGTGATGATTTTTTTATTCGCCGAGAACCAACTTAACTGCAAAATACTTATTTCTGTACAAGAAATTAAAATATGTTTATGGGTATCGTGTTCTTCAAAGAATGGGTTGTATATTAAGAAAAAAAAGGCAAAATATAAGTCAAGCCCACCCACCCCATCTCAATTGTGATGATTTTGTTTATTCCTACTGATTGAAATTTTTTATGTTTTAAAGTCAATCTAAGTTACTGCAAAGAATAACAAACTTGATTCAATTTTGAGTTGTTACCCGTTAATAATTGCAGAAGTAACACTTACAGTAGAGTAGAAAATGAAGCCTTTTTTACAATAAGAAAACAGCTGTGGACTCAAGCATTCAAGTTGGTAAAGTTTGTTTAAGTGTCACTATGTCGGCCAATCGGCAATGTTGGTGCGAAATATTAATAGGGTTTTAAAAAATATATATAGTGGCAGCAATGTAGCGATAGTTGTAGGGTAGCAAAATTTAATTTGACTTCTGGATTGTAAAGGCAGTTTTTGTAGAAATTTAAAAAACGTCAATCTCAGAAATAGGGCGTATAGAGGTTTTGGGGGAAATTGGGGGCGTTTAATCAATTTAAGGGAGTGGCACAAGAAAATATTTGAACATTTTGAGAAACCGGGAAAATATTATAATTCAAACTGTATACATCGTAGTCAACGAGTACTGACTGAATGCTTGGTGCCATGTCACTTTTAAGCGTTCAAGAAAATTTGGTTATGACAATTTAATAATACTAATTCATTAATTGTTATCCATGTCAGTTTTGACAACAGGAAATTAGGTGGTGGTGGAGTGACAGTTCTACCAATTTCAAGCAAAATTCATCGATACCAATTGAAACAGTACTTGCAGAAAAAGAATAATAAACACGATCAAAGACAGCCACAAATTTTTGAAAATGATGACCGTCAATTTGAAAGTTAAAATGTAGAATTTTTTCAAAAGTGAATTTAAATTTGTCTCCTCTTTCATTTTGGTAATTTATGTAAAATTAAAAAAAAAGCAAATTTCTAATTCATTTTTATGGATTGAATTTTGGACAGAGGGAGTATTTTTATTAGTATTATTTCAAAACCGGTATTTATACATAAGAGATGTTCAGTTGAAGAATACATCAACTGAACACTTGCTTTTTTTGTAGAAGAAAATATAGCCAAAAACAGATGTGTCTGATTAATGCGTACTGTTGTGAATATCATTGAAATTTTCTCATTTGCAACTGCCGTTGATTAAATTTTATGTTTATTATAAACGTACTTCACAATGTTTACAAAAATCAAGGCTAACTTGATGACTTTGTCAATGGAGCACCTGGTATAGGTACGTATAATTTATCTCCTAGTAATCCTTGCGGTTTCCCATGGTAAACGAGAGCTCCACCTAGGGAAGCACCGATACGAGTGCTTTCTGGGAAGCACAAAACGATGGAAATATAATTGTTTACTGTGTTTTGTGTTAAACACAGGCCGTGATCTGTGACATGCGCAGACGTGTCGATCCACCACTGGATATTTGAAACATGGGTCCTCAAATTTTTGAATAGTGTATTTTTCATCATATCTTAGAAATATTTTCACCGACCTCAACTGCTTTCTACCTATGTATTTCGGATTTTTAAATATTCAAACTTTCTGAGCTTTCTCCCCCATTTCACAAAACACAACTTGTGACAAACCCTCTTCGCGCTTAACTTCGAACCGTCAGCGCTTTTCGTCGCAGCGATTGGCAGCCCTGCCCACCCACAACAATCCCAAGATGTCGACCGTCAGCTGTGCGCGAGACCTTGATCGGAATAAATAAAGTGCGTCCTACGAATAATCGGCGACAGGTAGCATCTGTATCTAGTGTAACTTGTGGAGTGATTTCGCCATGTAACAAGCATGGGCTTTCGCGAAAATGTCAACGGTGGCGACGACGTTACTTGGCACAGTGAAAATAAAATGCACCTGTACGCCCCTTCTGCTGGAGAATCTGGACAGGATTTCGGTGCTGTTCGCGGCGCGACTTGAGGAGCCCCGCGCCCAGAACATCGCCAAAGACGACCTCGTCAGCTTCGAAGTGCATTCGCTGGCTCCCAGCGGCTGCGAACGCGCCCCCAGCGCGGACTTCATCACCAGGTTGCAGGTAAGGGTGACAGTGTTTGTAAATAAACAAGGACATTGGAAGCAGGTGGATCCGGCGGTAGCGATTACTGATAGACTTTGCGGTTGGAATTCAGGTTAATAAAGATCGTTCTAGGGAAGTCTGTTGTTCTAGGAAGAAGAGATTGCAATACCCTTGAATTTTAATGACTATCGTCTGGTATTGAGTCTTGAAAATTCCGTTGTTTAAATTTAGGTATGTTATCGAAGAACAACAATTGTTTTTATACAAGTTGCTGCGTATTTGGGTTAGTATTTACAATTGTCGCTGTTAGGCGGATGTGCGAATTTGCGGTTTCAAAAATTTTGTGTTGTTTTAATAGATGATTTCAGCAGTTGATTATGGTGACTTGAATTATTGTTATTACTTTTTAACCATTGCGTAATAAGATTCTCTGACAATTGACACATGTTAAAACCATTAAAACTGTGAAGTTGTAAATTAAAGGAAAACAATTTTAATGTTTCTGCGTAAATTAATTAGTGGCTTATTTATCACTTGCTGTGCTATTTTAAAACGAAATACATAGATCTCATTGTTTATTAGTGAGGTCAAGGCCATAAATAGCCCAGTTTTTGGTGATAATACCTGAAACTACTATCCTTCCCAATTGCCTCGCTTCACAACCCAAAAATGATGACGAAAACTATACTAAACTCAGTTGACATACACCTTATAAAACTTTTATGACTTAAGCCAAACCACCCTTATAAGTCAAACTGGCTATTGTAAGCTTTATGGACCCGAACCGCAAGGATTATTACTGTCCATTGTTGCCACAATGGAGCTGTAAAGTTGTACTGGGTATATGTGAACTAAGTTAAGTTATACAATATCCAGTTTGACTTATAAGGGTGCTTTGGCTTAAGCCGCTTAAGTCATAAAAGTTTTACAAGGTGTATGTCAAGTGAGTTTAGTATACAACGTGACAGATTTTGTCAGCTGTCAACGAAAAGGTTACTCATCCGTGGTTAACACATTTTTTCATAAGCAGTAAAAATGTTTAACAAAGAATTAATTAATAATAATAACAGTAAACAAAAAATTTTAAAAGCAAAAACTAAATTTCATTCGTTTGTTAGGTATACTCTTGGCAAGTAAAAGTGGCAGACTTAACTTTTAAAGCTGCCATAGGATTACCATAAATATCATAAATGGCGTGGATTAATTTCTGTCAAATAATGTCTTTTTTACCTGGTCTGGGTTGATTTTCCATGCCGCTTTGCTTGACTCATCGTCATCCCGCTTCTGTACAGGGGTGTATTCATATAGGGTAATAAACATTATTTGATAGAAGTTCATACTTTTATGATAATCTTATTCGGCTATAAAAGTTAGGTCTGCCACATCTCCACTTCCGTTTGCCAAAACTAGACTAATAATTGTTATAATATGGAAAATATTGGTGACGTGCGTCTTTGTTCCTCAACACGTTGTGGATCTGCAAAAGGAGTAGAAGTTGGTTTGTTGCCGGAAAAGTCTAAACGACATTACGTTAGGGAGTACGAGACTTTTTCGTGATTTTTAAGCAACAAAGTGAGAGAAACTTATCCACCTCCTCTCTGCGGGTTTTCATAATCTCATAGCTGCTTGGCTAGATTAAAAAAAAAAGGACCAAAATTTCCTGGCGTGATTTTAGAAAATTTTGAATTCGAAACGAGAAATTTTTGTGATAATATTTTAAAGCATAAGAGCATAAGACGAAACCCCGGATTGAAATGACTAAAAATTAACAACGTTTGTGTCCGTTTAAATGACGAAATATCTTCCTAGTTCTTTATTTAATTGTTGTAAAAACTATCAAGTTAAAAAAAAATGTTTAAAAAAAAAACTGCCCACACGTTATACCGGGTGTCTGGAAAATGGCGGATCAACTCTTCAGTAGATTACGTACGGGGGTGTCGGGAGTCCCAAAAATATAATAAAAAATTTCTTTATGATGTAGATTACGAAAAAAACGTAATTTTATAAAAGCAAAATTGGCAACACTGCACACACCTAATGTGTGAATACCTCCGCACTTACTTTCTGATTTTTTAGTAACGATAGAGTCATTAATCATTGTGCATTATTATTAATAAAACAAATTATTATTTTTCTTTAGTAAATAAACCAAAAAAAAAATTCATAAGACATTTATAAATTATAAACAAAAACACAAAAAGAAAAATCCATTAATGCATAACCAACTAAATATTAGCGAAGGTTTCAAAATTCCTGCCTTAGCTCGTAATGTTTCCAAATTTTGATAATTTTTTGTAAAAGTTAGTCATCAGTACTTGCTAAGATAAAACTGATTTTGGCAAATGACATACCCCCAAAGAAAAGAGAGGGTGGGTGGGCGGGCGGGGCTAGTAGCTGCTAAGATAAGACTGATTTTGGCAAATGGGGTATTCTCTAAGAAAAGAAAGGGTGGGTGGGCGGGGCTGGTAATCTTCCCGGACGGATATCTTTAGTAAGGTCTTTTGTATTCTGACATAAATTTATTTGTCGTCTATCTAGGATCACAGAATGCAAACAGAGCGTTGTCGTAGTAGATCTGTAGTACTAGGAATGGCATTCCTTATTTTAGTGAATCCACATTTTATTTTTGTAGCAACAGTTAGATTAGATTAGAACAAATGTGATGTGAATATGTTGTTTCATTTGAAATCATACCAGAGATGAGTGTCCCCTCTCTCTCTGGTCAAACTAAATCTTTGGTCGAATACTTAATTACAACGAAGAAAGGAAATAAGAGAATAACTAACCTGTAAATAAAAAAAAAGATTAACTGTTATTTTGTGATGAATGTCACAATAATCTACACCTAGACTGTGTGGGATTAACCGAAGGTGATATAAAATTTACCCGAGCGAAATCTAAGTCAGTTAAGGTCGTATGTAATAATTGTATAATAAATAGGTGGTAGAATCAATTCTAAAACCTCAAGGAGCTAACAAAGTCCTCATGCAATGAATTCATCAATATCGTTTAATTTCAGCTGATTTTGACACTTTACCTTCAAAAAAAAAAAAAAAAAAACGGTAATTATTCCAGTGGCACCGTCTCGTCTTCTTAAACGTACAAAACTCTATAGGTAGGGCTAAAAAAAAACATCTCAGGAGTGTCTCTGAAGGGATATCTTTTTCTATACCAATTTTTAATTCACCTATATCTTGATTCGATATACTCTCGGCTCTTGAAGGTAACTCCACAAAGAAAGTTTAATTGTGTTAGGTCGGGAGACCTTGCTGCACAACCGTATAAGTCGGCGACTCCCATCCGTCTGAACGGAAAATTAGTTATTGAAATAAAGATTGGAAGTGAGATTTTCAGAGTTGATAGAACTAATAAAATCTAGTAACATTACACCAAGAATTTATGCTACGGATACCTTCTTGGCAGTAAGTGGCGCTTTTAAGTCCCAAATTTTAGTTGGCAGTTTGACAGTGGTTGAGACAAAGGTTTGGCATCGGCCACATCACATTAACAACTTTTATATAGCGAAGGCATGTTATCAAAAATAAAATAGGATGTCAGCATGGGCGTGGTTCTTTGAATTTATGCAAATGTCATCAAATTTAATTTTACTCAAGATACAGAAGAATTTCACGGTGACTCAACTTGTCAAGCAGCCTCACACTTCACAGGATTTCCTTAGATGGCGCCGCTTGTTTTCAAGGACTGTCACATTGCTGCCAAACGTAGAGATAGCTTTCAGATTTCGAAGTTTCTTAACCAAAATTTAGCGAACATTCCTGAAGTGATGGCATGTTCCTGTGTTTAACTGGCGTACTGCTAGTAAAATACGAGTGCAAAGCAGCGATTTTAACCTAACAAACATCAAAAGTGACAGCCCCATTGTTACTGTGCCGCCATCTGTGTGGCTTTTTAATTGAAAAGTGTAATTATATAAATTGATGTAATAAGTCGCTGTAATATTTGTCAGTGCATCTTCGTGTTACCAGATTTTCTTGTCTGGAATGTTGTTGACCTGTCAAATAATATCGGAAGCAATGTACATGGTACCACTTGTACCACTTGTGGCTGGTTTGACTAGTAATTAGTCGAGTGTCGTACTGTTCTTGCATATATGTAATATTTTGAATTCTCGGTAATGTTTTGTTACAGCATAAACAGGAACTATCAGCCTAAATAAAAAGTTAAAAGACTTTAAGACTTTATAGAATTGATGTACACAGCGTAATAACAAGTGTTTTTTACCTATAGACAAAATATTTGCAAACTTGTAGAGCAAACACCATCTTCTTCCTCGGACTTTTTTCTCTTGGGGTTTAATTGGTGTGTAACTGTTTAACCTTGAAAGACTGAAGGTGGCGTCCTCCCAGAAGAATAGTGGAGTCGTGCATATTAATTTTGGGAGTTGAAAGTAGTTTAAACAACCAAGGGCTGATTTTAACAGAAGCATTTCAGAATGTTATACCAATATTTGCTATGGAAATATCTGTTGACACGATCATTCCTACCATAAATATTGGCAGGTTAAATTAACAATCGTTAGTGAAAATGGGCTGAAGTATTTTGAACTGTTAATAAACGTCTTTATTCAAAGAATTTCTTATCAAATAATACAACAATAACAGGTCACTTGGTATATCATTAATGAATTAAAAAAATAATAAGAAGTTTTAATTTGCACCCATAACAGAATAAAACATGATGTAATGAAATACTTTGACTTGAAAATATCAAATAAAACATATTGAAATTTGTTATTCAAATAAGACCCTAGAATAAGATGAGTACATTTTAAAAACTGAATAACCGCCTTTTATTAATTTTTTACTACCCACTCGTAAACTCGAGTAATTTTGACGATTGTCTAATTTCAGGTTTCTCGACTTTTCAGTTTGTACGACGCGAAAGTGTCGGTCCCCCGTTTCTGTCTTATTCGCCTGTTGGCGGTTTTGTTTAAACAGATCATTTGAAACTGCTGGATTATTGTGAAATTTTAGGATTGTCCTATATGCGATAAAACG